TGTCTAGAACAATATGATAATCAGTTTTTAATTGCAGCGGGACGCCATCAATAAGACACTGAGATATGCAAGCAAGAATAGACTTCCAGAAGATATAAAAGAGCAAATGTTGGCACATTTGACTCTCAAATTCAAGACTGCAGAACTACAGCAAGAGGAAGTAATAAGAGACTTACCCAAGGCAATAAGATGTAGCATTGCACAATATCTCTTCCATACAACCATTGAAAATACCTACCTTTTCAAAGGGGTTTCTGAAGACTTCTTAGTCCAGTTGGTGATGCATTCTCTTACCTGCGTGCTAAAAGCAGAATTTTTAACCTATACAGCTCCACATAACTACGTTATGTCCTTTGTCTTTTGATCTTACAGGTTTCCGAGATAAAAGCAGAATACTTTCCACCAAAAGTTGACATTGTTATTCAAAATGAGATACCAACAGATTTCTACATTATTGTCTCTGGAGCTGTGGTACGTGCCATTCCCGTCAACTTTTGCTCTTACTACTCTACACAGTTAACTGGTCGGTCGTTGAAAACTGCAGGAAGTGGTAACATACAAGAATGGAATTGAACAGGTTAGTTATCACATTCTCAAATTGTTTGATGCTGCTCCTAAGTTTTCTTTGCCGTCCTAGTCTTTGCTAGACCAAATAAAAGTTGGCTAACTTTAAAGAAAGAAGAAGAGAAGGTATAATGATTATTTATATCCAAGTGCCTGGAGACAACAGTGCCAGAAAGTCCACGGTGCATACTGATTTCAACTATCCTATAAAAAAAAGGACAGAAGATGAGTATCGTTTGGTTGCTAGAAATAGTTCGAGAGAACAATATAATCTATTCTAATAAGTGTTGTCAATTCAAACCAATCACGTTTCTTACATTTATCAGTATTTAACAGGAGATTACAGAATCTCTATATTAGTTTAAACAAACATCTGGGATTAAGCATGACAAGAAGCTTAAGTAGGATATATGAACATCAATCACATCAAACATTTGGCATACAGATCTTGAAAGCTGGTGGAAACCATCTTATAACAGTGAGGACAGTGCCTAAAGGATATTTAAACTACATATCAAGCTTGATCTAGGAGAAATTCTCAGCTTGAGGAAGTGAATTATCAGGAAAAAAATGCTACTTTTCTTATGTAGAGCCTGATAGCTAAAAAATATGGGTATAACAGACAAATCACAAAAATAGCTTTACACACCAAAGCTGTTTGACACCCGAACTCATACCGTACATTGAGATAAACAGACTCTTTGACTCAGAAGTACTGAAACAGATCAATGACATGCCCATTACAGCGGAGAAGGAAACTCGGACAAAAGCTTTGTGGTAGAGGCTATAAAAGAATAACTCTTAAACTAACCGAGAGAGGGTGAAAAGCATATAATGCTGAGAGATTATTTGACTATGATTTCTAGATTAATGATCAGATGACAAGGATTTCACATCTATTAAATTAGACTGCAAAGCTAAGTGCGACTGGTGTAACTTTCTCATCGTACCTTTTCAGCTGCATCCAACAATCTGAAATGTCATTTATTATCTACTGAACAAATCAAGATACATCATAACAAACTATTATTGAATGATATGTGAGCAGATATATACTGTCAATTCTTGTATTAACTTATACATATGACAGTTATGTAATCTAACCATTTGTTGGTAATAGATTGCACGTTCAATCATAAATGTTATCGAAAAGTGATGCTAACTCGAACCAGACAACCTCTACTTACATTATATCATTCATTGGTCGATTAAGCCAACATTTTTCATAGTATGAAAATCTCCAATTAATCAGAGAGTTCTTTTCTTAAAAAAGTTTCTCCTTTCTGCTGAACAGTTCCTGTCAAAGTTGGAGTCCCCAGAATTGTTCGGTGAAGTAGGTGTTATCTTTAATACGCCCCAGCCTTTTACCGTGAGAAGTAAGAGGCTTTCTCAGGTTGTTCGAATCAGCCATCATCATTTCAAACAACTGGTGCAGCCCCTTAATGCAGATGGAAAGATAATCCTCTCCAATTTTCTTCAGGTACTGTGGTAGCTTCTAGTTGCTAGTCTTGAACATCATTATATTCCCAGTGACAAGCTAGTTATCAATGTTTCGTGTACCCTATGCTTGAAGATCTGAGCATCAGTAACACTGAGCTTATAATGGCATTTTCCAGTTGGATGACAGCTCATCAGATTAGCTCTTATGTTAGTTATCTCTCTATTCATACTCACATTATGGTCTTGTGACGTGATGTAATCAGCATCTGAAAGGAATGGGAAAGGAAGAGCTACAAGAGATACCGCTCATATCAGAGCTGCTCAGTGACCTGAATAGTGAGGTAATCCTTTGCAATAAACTAGCAAAATCTATGGCATCAAACTGAGTAAGTACTTGAACCTGGTTTGATCCTTTTTTCTTTTTTTTGGATGACTGAGAGATCCTTCTGTGGCGAACCTTTAGGACTAACCGCAGCCTCCGAAACTCGGGGACAATGCACCCCCTCCCCCTGCCTCTACCCTTCTCCACTTAAATACCAGGATTAATTCGCAAGGCGCAGGGCTCGAACTTGAGACCTAGGTCGCTAGTCCCTCAACCATTGCCACTTGAACCTGGCTTGATCACCAGCCGATCAATTTCTATGATGATTTCTTCATTCTCTTGCAGGCGGGTACAGTGAGTAGGGTACAAAATCATGAAGGCCACAGCCAAGATGGAAATAGTAAGCATATGCTTGACCTAGAACTGTTCCATTATTAATATCTCACCCTGTGAGTAAGATATATGTACTGAAAGCAAAGAGTGAGCAGTTGGCATCAAAATTTACCAAAGTTCGTATCATATACCATAAATGTGACTATGAAACTTTGCAGAGTATGTAAAATTTAAAGGAACATAGAATGGTGAAATTTGATGGACATAAACCCCTGGTTATTTTGAAAACTTTTTAGCTACTTTCCACTTGCTTCTGTATTTGACCCTATACTACTATTTTACACAAATAAGCAACATGTTAGTTTTCTGTAGGCATGTATTAAGTTTGAAATTAAAAAACCTTGATGTTTTGGGTTGTCAACATGCTATTTTCTTTTTGATAAAGTAAATAATTTTATCAATTTGGAAAAACTCCCTAAAAAGCCAAAATGCTTCTTTAAAAGTTTAATCTGAAAAGTGAAAACTACTGTTATATTCAGATTTCTATTTACAGTTCACAAAATGGGCATTTCCAAGTTAAATTCATGAGTTGAATCTCACTTAGACACCTAAGATTTAGTCTTTGACTATGGATTGCTTCTATTTGCCTTTTAGTTTTGCATGACTAAAGGAGTATAATACAATGAAATTTTTGGTTAGGAAATCCTAAAACATCTTTCAATAAATAATAAGGATTTTGTGTTACAGGAATTACCACAACTACACTCCCCGTTAGGGTTATAATACATGGACATCATCCACATGAGAAAACAAAGGAAGGAGGAATTGCAGGAAAACTAATACATCTACCTCAGTCAGTTGAAGATCTCCTAATAATAGCAGGTAAGCCTAAGTAAATTGGCTGAGTCTACTGGATTTCAGCTTGTGAAGCATTGAAAGTTAGCCATTACTTTCAACAAATTCGTTTCAATTCATTCTCTAATACGAAATTAAAACCAATGATTTTTCTCCAATGCATTGTCAAGAAATAAGAATGCAAGAGAGGAATTCCAATTGTAGCGTATCTAATAATTTTTGTGGATGTAGGAAAAAGATTTGGAAAAAGAGGAAGTACAGTTCTCATGGCAGATGGCTCCCCAATGGAGGATTTGGGTGCGTTGCGAGAAAATGATCACTTGTATATAGTTTGACAGAAAAATCCTCAAAGATGTGTATTGATATGAGAAAACCATCGAATGCTTAAGAAATAAATGCGCTAATTTATTTTTCAAGAGGTTAAATTAATACTTATCTGATTGTTCTCTAAATTTGCACACCAGATAACAAAGACTAGTGTATTTGTTTCCTCAACTGCATGCCTAAATTTATCTTTATTTAAAAATAATAAAAAATACAATTCTTAATTAATATTATTCCCTCCGTTCACTTTTATCAGGCTAAAAATAGATTTTCATTTTTACTTGTCACTTTACGCATATCAAGAGAAGATAATTTTTTTTTCCTGTTATACCCACAGTATTTATTACTTATTTCAAATCATTTTCTCAAATCCAACAAAATATGCATCAATTAATATGGGCATCATGGTAAATTATGCACTTCATTTATTATTTCTTAAAGGGCGTGAAAAGTCAAAACATGCTAAGTAAAAGTGAACAGAGGGAGTAACTTACAAGTATTAGGCAAAATCTTAATTTACATGAATTAAAGAAATAAAAGCTAAATCATGACGGGGATAAAATGTTACAAGTGAGCTATAGTCTGAAGCCCAAGTTCAAGACTTGACATTAGCCCATTTATTTATTTGTACACTTCATAGCACTAGAAGTCCATTGTACTTTCCATTGTATTTTTCCATGTAATTTCTGTTATAAACTTAGGTCAAGAGGCAACATATAAATAGGTAGTATAGCTTTGTATAGAGACGGATTTTCATTTTCTTTCAACTAGTTAGAAAGATCTAGATATATCTCTCAATCGACTCTCTCTTTCTCAACATGAAACCCTAATAGGGTTTCACTGATTTTGATAATTTCTCACAAGTTTACACGGTATCAGAGCGGGATCTTGCTTACTTTGATCGTCCTCTTCCGTCCGATATTACCCGTCATCTCATATCTGGTTGTTTTCATTGCTAAGTCTGGGACTGCCTTTGGTTGGATTTTCGGGATTTTGTTTTGGAGCCGAAGAAGCTTGTTGTTGTTCATCTCTTCGTTTACTCTTCGATTTTAGAAGGCCGTGTTTTACGGTTGCGAAAAACTTCGGTAAATCTATTTTTTTATGAATTTTTCCTGTTAGGTTTGGGTGCATGTGGCTATCTGATAATTGATGAATATTTGATATGGCTATGATTGATTCTAAGATTAATAGTACCTCTACTTTTTGTGAATCCACTGAGTTTACCCTTAGACCCTCGATTCCTCTATTCGTTCACTCTTCTGATATACCTGGGTTATCTCTTGTACCTTTTTCTGTGTCTGATTTTGGGGGATGGCGAAGGAGTATTATTGTTTCCTTGTCTGCCAAAAACAAAATTGAATTCATTGATGGCACTTTCCCTAGACCCCCGCAGAATTCTCCTGAATGCAAGTAGTGGGATAGGTGTAATAATATGATTATCTCATGGCTGACTAGTTCCCTATCCCCTAGCATTACTGAGAGTGTTCAATATTCTGAAACAGCTGGGGATATTTGGACACAATTGAATAGAGGGTATGGTACTGTAAATGGAACTAAAGTCTTTGAAATTAAAAAGGAATTAACTTCCACCCATCAAGGTGCTTTAGATATTGCATCATACTTTAACAAACTGAAGAAACTTTGGGATGAGCTAAGGGTCATGCGATCTAGTCAGAGCAACACTTGCACTTGTGCTGCTTAGGCTGGCATCCAAAAAGAGGAGGAGGAAGACAGGCTGCAATAATTTCTCATGGGCTTAAATGAAACATATGTCAGTATTAGGAATAATCTTCTCATGATGCAACCACCTCCATCCTTAGATAGTGCAAACAACATTTTGCTTCAAGATAAAAGACAGAGGCAGGTCAATCCATCTACTCAGTTTAGCCCTGAGTCTGCCTCCTTCAATACTACCTCGTTTAATTTCCCTCAGGCATCACATCCTCAGAAACAATATCCTCAGTGAGTGTCCTTTGATTCAAATAGAGTAACTCAATTTTGCAAGTATTGCAAAAAGAGTGGTCATCTAATTGATAAGTGTTATTAGTTGCATGGGTTCCCCACTAGATTCGAGTTTACTAAGGGTCGGAAGATGGCTGCAATGAGGTTGAATTGGCCTCCAATAGTATTGGGTCTCCTGTTTTTACTCATGTTGCTCATCCTGATGGTGCTTCCTTAGTTCCTAGCCTCACCAAGGAGCAATATGCTCAACTCATTGCTTTACCAAGTTCATGTGACTGACCCATCTTCTGCTCAGTCCAGCCTGATGGCATTTGCAAATTTTGTTGGTAATCTTCCTTTAATTGCTTGTGTAAAAGTGCAGTATATTGCATCTTTATTGAGTAGAGTAGCTGAATATAGTTGGATCTTAGATTCTGGGGCCACACATCACACGACTTCACACAAAATCTTCTTTCCAACATTCAACCTTTAGTAATTCTCTACCTTGTCACACTTCCAAATGGATACAAGGTGAAAGTAACTTGCACAAGGTCTCTTAACCTGTTTTCTTTCACCTTAGATCATGTTCTTTATGTTCCTACTTTCCACTACAATCTCATTTCTATATCTCAGTTAGTCATCCAACTTCATTGCATAGTTCAATTTGACTCACTCTCATGTATTTTATAGGCCCCTTCACTGAAGAGGCCACTGCAAGTTGGTAAATTGGAGCATGGACTTTACAGATTCCTCATGTCTCCCTCAGAGTCTGCTACATTTGGTTCTACTATTAGCTTACCTTTTGTTTCCAATGCAACTTTACATTGTAGATATCCATTGAATGTTTCTGATTCTTCCTCTATAATTATTCCACATGTCTTACATTGTAAAAATCATTCTTCCATTAGTAAAGAGGAAATGTTATGGCATATTGGGTCACATTTCTTTTGTTAGAGTAAAAGATATTTATGTGTTCCTTGTGAATTCTCTTCCATACAGTCTTTTACCTGTTCTATTTTTCCAATGGCTAGACAGTAAAGATTACTTTTCCTTAACAGTAGCATAAAGTCATCCCATCATTTTCAATTATTTCATGTTGATACTTGGGGCCCCTATTCTACTTACACTTATAATTGTTTTATATACTTCCCGGCCATAGTTAATGACTTTACTAAAGCACTTGGACACATCTTATGGGTCCAAAAGCAATGCTTTTCCTTTACTCCAAGCCTTTCTTGCCATGATTCAGACTCAATTTTCCGCCAAGGTTCAATGTGTTAGAAGTGATAATGTTTTGGAACTTGTCTCTAGCAACTATGTTATCTAATTTTTTAAAGATCATGAGATTCTACATCAAACTAGTTGTCCACACACACCCCAGTAAAATGGTGTGGTAGAAAGAAAGCACAAGTATCTGCTTGAGACTTCTAGGGTATTACTTTTTTAATCCAAGTTGCCTATAAGGTTCTGGGGGGGGGGGGGGAGGGGGGGAATGTGTACTCACTGCTACATACCTCATCAATAAGTTCCCTTCAAAATTGCTTCAACACGAATCCCCTTTTGAATTACTTTATGGCCATTCTCCTTCCTATTCTCACCTCAAAGTATTTGGTTTTCTTTGCTTTCACGCTATATCCAAGTACCATAAGGATAAGTTCCAACCTAGGGATCCTTGTATCTTTCTTGGCTATCCTCTTGCTAAGAAAGGCTACAAGTTGTTCAACCTCTCTACCAAACAGGTACTTGTTTCCAGCGATGTCAATTTTCATAAACATGTTTTTCCCTTTGATGTTTCACCATTCTCTTCCACTTCATCTCATTCGCCTTCACTCCTTATCTCTGCTGGCTTTTCTAATTATCCTGAAAATGTCTTCTCTGTTCCTCCTTCTGTCCCCCATCTCCAGTCACATCATCAATTCTTCCCAATTCTCCCCATACCTCGTCTCCTCCTCCTATACCACCTCCACCGTTCATTCAGCCTACCAGAAAGTCTTCTAGACCTCATCACCTTCCTGCACACCTTGAGGATTTTGTTTGTACCCTTCCTCCTTCTTTACTTAGCTCCAATTCTTTATCCTCTGTAGTTCAGCCTTCTCCTCACAATGTTGCTATTGAGCCACAGTTTTATCATCAAGTTGCTTTTATTCAAGCCTGGCAAGAGGCTATGAGAAAAGAATTTGAGGCCCTTGAGGCCAATCACACTTGGGCAATTATTGAATTGCCCAGAGGTAAGAAGCCCATTAGTTGTAAATTGGTCTACAAGATCAAATATAAGGCCGATGGTAGTGTTGAGAGGTATAAATCCAGGTTAGTAGTAAGAGGGGATACACAGGTGGAAGGGGTGGACTTCACTGAAACTTTTTTCCATGTGATTAAGTTTTCCACTATTAAATGCTTAGTGGTTATGGCTGTTAAGAGGCAATGGTCTCTCATCCAACTTGATGTCAAAAATGCCTTTTTGCATGGTGACTTCGATGAGGAGGTATGCATGAAGTTGCCTTCTGGGCTATTTGTTGGTTATGCTTCATGTCCTTCTACTTCTTTAGTGTGTAAACTTCAAAAGTCTCTCTATGGCCTAAGGCAGGCCTCTAGGCAGTGGTGTGCTAAACTATCTCTTGCTCTTTACTCTAGGGGATATACACATTCTTTAAATGATTACTCCTTGTTTTTTAAGAAGTCTGTTTCTTCTATTATCTTGTTAGCTGTTTTTGTTGATGACATTATCTTGACTGGTGATGATGAGGCTGAGATTCTTGCATTAAAAGCTTTTTTGGATGATCAATTTAAGATAAAGGACTTGGGTAACCTCAATTATTTTCTTGGGATTGAAGTGGCTTCTTTTCCTTCTGGTTTGCTTCTTCATTAACACAAGTTTATATGTGATGTTCTCCAAGAATACAATTGTTCTGAGGTTACCCCTGTTGTTTGTCCCTTAGACTTGAATCAAAAGCTTAAAGCTGGTGTTGGTGAGCTGCTGCCCAAACCTGAACAATTTAGGAGTTTAATTTTCTCACACATACTAGGCTTGATCTGTGCTTTGCAGTCCATCGCCTGAGCCAACTTGTTCAGTCCCGAAGAGTTCCCCATATGGATGTTGCCCTTCATCTCTTTCGTTATTTGAAGGGAACCTCTGATTTGGGTATATTTTTTGAAGCTTCTTCTGATATGTCCTTGATTGCATATTGTGACAGCGATTGGGCTGCATGTCCTGATACTAGGAGATTTGTCACTAGTTTCAGCATCTTCCTTGGTGGTTCCCTCATTGGTTGGAAGTCCAAGAAACAACCTGTTGTTTCTCTTTCTTCAGCAGAGGCAGAGTACAGGGCTGTTAGCAAAGTTATTGCTGAGCTTGCTTGGCTCGCTCATTTACTAGATTATCTTAATGTTTCAGTTTCTTCTCATGTTCCTTTTTCTGTGATAACCATGCAGCTATTCATATTGCACGCAATCCTGTGTTTCATGAGCGCACCAAACATATTGAGGTGGATTGTCATTTTGTTCGCACTAAACTCACTGATGGGGCTATTCAACTGAATCATGTCCTTACCACTGCTCAATTGGCTTATCTGTTTACCAAGCCACTTACAGGGAGTGTTCATCATGGGTTGCTATTCAAGTTGGGAGTTGTATCCCCCTCCAACTTGCGGGTAAGGTTGTCCATGGATATTTAAAAACCGACTAAACCGACCGAACCGTACTGTACCGAACCGACTTTTAGGTTTCTTTTAATAAAACTGTAGGTTTTTATATAAATATATAACTGTACCGATAATTAGGGTAGGTTTTTTATTTTATAAAAATAAACCGAAAAATACCGAACCGTACCGAATAAATTTACATATGGAAAATATATTTATATATTAAGTTTAAGAATAATAATGTATTAAAATTTTCCTTGGGCTTTGGAATTGTGAAACGGTTACAAGCAAACAAGTAATTAAACTCAAAATCTTAATTCTCAAACCTATAATACTATTCCTATTGAAAATAGATTATTTCCAACATATTCACATGCAAGACACAAGCTATTCTAGCGATTAGTAGCAAACTACGATGTATTGAATATCTTTCATTTCATATAATTTAGATTTATCTTTTTAAATATTTAATCTTCTATAGACTTTATTCTTGAGTTCCAACATGGATAATATCTTTTCACTCGGTTAATATCTTTGTTTAGTTTCTTTTACGCTGTTGTAGAATAGTTGATGGATCTATACTCATGAGAGTAAAAATATCTAAAGACTAAGTCTTATAAAAGTATGTTATTGCATTCTACTTATACTAGTGACATTTACATGACATTTAAAAAAAATACCGAAAATTAATCGAACCGTACTGATACCGAAGAGAAACCGACATGATTGGGACGGTTTCGAAAAGTCTAATTTTGGTTATACATAATAGAATAACCAAAAAATTGGTATGGTACAAAGTTTAGAAAATGACCGTCCGAACCAAACCATTGACACTCCTACTTGCGGGGAAGTGTTGAAGTGAGCTATAGGCGGAAGCCCAATTTCAAGACTTAACATTAGCCCATTTATTTATTTATTTATTTGTACACTTCAAAGCACTAGAGGCTCATTGTACTTTCTATTGTATTTTTATGTAATTTATGTTATAAACCGGGGTCAAGAGGCCCAACATATAAATAGATAGAATAGCTTTATATAGAGACGGATTTTTATTTTCTTTCAACTAATAAGAAAGATCTAGATATTTCTCAACCAACTCTCTCTTTCTAACATGAAACCCTAA